ACCAAAAAAAGCATTTTATGTCCCAACTTAACAGGAACTATAGACGTTCTGACCATAACCAATGTTATTGTCAACGACACAAATTCTAACGAAGTGTAAAAAACAAGCAATTTTACATGAACTATGGACAAGTGGATTAGTGAAGACGCTGGGATAATATCATTTAGGACCTCGATAGAAAGAACGCTGATATAACACCCCTATACATTTAGTGGGTACGACAGAAAGCTGAGGTAATAATATGATGGCACATTTTTAGAGAGAGAGAGAGAGAGAGAGAGAGAGAGAGAGAGAGAGAGAGCAGGGATAATAACTCAATAATGGCTAATATGACTGGTGGGTTAGAGAAATCCTAGCATTACAAGGTGCTATAATACCTATTCATATAAGCGGATAGGAGAGAAAACTAAGATATTGACGCAATGAAAAAGCTTTTAATTGGCAGATTAGAAGGACAGTTTAGATAGTTCAACTAACTAATTACAACTAACTATAGTGTTTACCCGACAGTCCTGTTGAGCCAAAGCCATGTCTCAGGAAAGTCGGAGCGAATTGTTTCCACTTCTTTAAGGGCATTATTACTAGGAATAATACCGATAGGAGCCATGGGCTTAATCATATTAGGCGGAGCTACTTCGGGTGCAGGGATGGGGCCATGGAACGCCATATCAGTATCAGTAAACATAGGATCTAAAAATGAGTATGCCAAACAATATAGTTTTAGATATATTTGGAAATTCGTACCCTTTTCTGAGTGGCACTTACGTGGCTTACAAAAATCGCCGGCGCACTGGAACAGCGTGAAAATATATCTTACACCGCGGAGAATTAAACATACAACAAACGGGTTTCACGACGCGATTAAAAGATTCATTTTAAGTTACCTTCTGTTGAAAATGTACCTCCAAGCATTTCTGTTGAGGAAGTCATTTTTATTGTGGACGGTTAGTTAGTCAGTCAATGGATTCTAAATGGCCCGTCAACACAAAAGAGGTCGTTAGGGCTAAACAATTGTTGCGGACGGACTTGGTGGAAAATAAAGCCTTTCACTGAGGCATGATTCTCGCCAAGGCTTCTCAGGGTTATTGTAATTTCGTTTTGAAGGTCGTCTTCATTTTCTATTTTACTTTATATCGTATTATTTTTAGGTGGACAAACTGTACAATTTACAACCATGTAACGAATATTAAATCATATAAGTGCATCAATGACACTCAAATGATTTAGTAATTCCTGTAGTAGTCTTACAAATGCTTATCTTATTTTAATAAATGTCCAAATCGTTAAAATGTCTTTTACTGACAATGCCCACGCCAATGAAGCATGGACAGCTCAAACGATTATGAGTTTAAAATGAGAGAAATAAATCCCAGAAAACATCGGTATAAAAGCCATTTCAAGTAAGGAAATATACGTATTTAAAGCATTCAGTGTTATAATTGTCTTCTATTTATAAAACAAATCGTAATGAAACAGAAATATTTCCCTTCATGCCAATCAAAACTCATGTTTTGTTCAATAAACAATGCTTCGTTAACCGTATATATGACGTTACCATAGGTATTGAGACCAAAGTGAGCGATAACTAATGAATTAAGATATAAATGGAATTTCATTCAACAGAAAGCAGCATACATTGTAAATTATTTTTGTATGCAGGTATAAGGTTTTTCCATTTTCATTCCATTTTCGTCTCATTTTGTATACCCCTCCCACCGGCATTAGTAAGGGGGTAACAGGGAGCTTAATCTGTGTGTCCATGGTAAAAAGATTGAGTACAACAATCCCATGAACAAATTGACCTATCTATTTTCTAATCTTTACCGTTGTTTTCACGTGATTGATTAAATGGTTACGTGCGAGTTTTGCAAGTATAGAAGCATGTATCATTATCAATTACAAAAACATTTTTGTATGAAAGACTATTTGATTTGTAAAAAAAAATTGGAAAAAACGATGTAGGAGTGCATGGGAAACCGAACATCCTTTGTGTACCTACCCTTTATATTATACACACAGCATGCGTTTCTCGTTTTTTTTTGCGTTTAAGCTATAACAATACAGACTAGCCTTAACAATATAGACTAGCGGCGGCATAAAGAAAATGCTATCTGATATCGTTGAAGTAACCTCACCCGACAGTTTTGTTGAGCCAAAGCCATGTCTCAGGGAAGTCGGAGCGAATTGTTTCCACTTCTTTAAGAATGTTATTACTAGGAGGAATATGTGCACTGGGTCCATTGGGGACCACACCAGGAAAAGGCATAGGTGCTACCGCACCGGCATTTACCGCATCAGTAAAGTAAGGATCTAGAACAAATGAAATGCAACTTTGGGTATGTCCAATCGTAATATTTTCTCCTTTTTAGAAACAGTGCTAATGATATTAGATGGTCTGGTGGCGCAGTGAATAACCTACTCGCCCTCACCAAGGCGACCGGTGTTCAAGTCCCAGATCAGACGTAAAACTGTATGGAATTACAACTACGTGGGTTTTCTTCGGGTACTCCGGTTTCCACAGTAGAACCCCACACGCGCGCTTACATCCGGGCAAACATGGGTAATTAGCAGAAGTTGTAATAACTTTTTTCGTGACTGTTTTTCAGATTAATAAAGTTTATATTTTAATGAGATTTCATTTACACTGAAGTATTATTGATTTCGAAATGTTTGACCCTGCGATGAATCTGGTCTCTTACTCGAAGGCAAAAGGGGCGTTTATAGGCAATGCATGTGCCCAATCCTATTGTTAATTGCAACAATAACACAAAGTGAAATGAAAGGCAAAAATGAATGAAAATAACACGGAACGAGAACATCTAGAACATACACTGGAAGATATGTAACATTTTCTAAATCGGATTGTAGCTACTTTACAAAATCCATATGCTAACGGCCTTACCGTGATTTTTGAATATTTTTGTACCGAACACACTATAACCAAAAATTATTATTATTATATCATACATAGGAAAACTCTCAATGTAACGATAATTAAAAATATGTTAATAAATGAAATCTTTAAAGTATTTCAGTCAAAGCTGGTCAATATCGTTGAAGGCGAACCTGGTGGTTGTCTGATTTTTCAGGAAGGCATCATTTCGCGCAGGCTTGACAGATTTGGAGTACTGTTTTGGAAAAACGTCCGTTTCAAGATAGTAAATATGCGCATTTCAAATGTTTTATTCATCAACATAAGTTTTTTTCTTCTCGAAGAACTTGTGTTTTTGTAGGATAATTTGATGTATGACTCCTATTTAATGCCATTTGTCATTTCATCTCATCCAAACAACCTGATGGCAGCACATGTATGAAACCACTTCAACCGAAGCAATACCTACATAAACTGGAAGAGTAACAACCACAACAGATGTAATACACTATAAGCTTAACAACAAGACTGACAACCGGTAAAGGCTGACCATTACATAAGAAGAACTAGAAAGGTAATGTAAGTAGAGGTGAAGAACCACAATCGGCACCAGTGTCATGCAACTTTGAAAAACCTGTACGTGTAAAAGACAATACCAAACATGCAAAATCTATGGTCATCAGCGGTGTAACACAGCTTTATATGAACTGTAGAATAAAAGAACATCCCCCACCTTGAGGGTGTGTTAGAGAAATCTCCAACCAGAGGGGTGATATTCTTGATTGTCTTATCCGAGGCTTTGACTCACGGTAGGGGATGATTGTTTTCTCCAATCCTGTTTCATTCACAAATCCACCGACAAGCGGTGAATTGCATGAAATATAAGCGTTGATTGCATGTTTTTCTAACAAATTCAGAGTTGTCTTCGATGGTCTACGACTGTTGACATGACGTCAATGCATTGCTAACGTGATGTCATACTATTGGTATGACGTTGATTCCGCAATTCTACGCGGGGCTATCTCACCCAAGAGGTTGACAATCTGATCTTTTTCTGGCTCAAAAGGGAGACACAGCTTTGAAGGGTGGGATAATTGACAAGCAACACCGGTGTAACTCAGCTTACATTGAACTGTAAGAGCAACAATCAACATTGGTGTACGCACAGTACAAATGACTGCATCGATGTAAGACAGTTTTACACAATTTGCAAGAGCACCGGTGTAAAAGTTACAGTCGACACCAGAGTGACACAGATTAATAGGAACTGTCACGAACCGTAAAGGTTACAATCGGCATTAGTGTATAACAACTTAACCTGAACTGTCAAAGGTTCAAAACAAATGTTGTCATTAACTGTACTTTGCACCTTAATTCGTCTAACCTGATTAAACCTCATATTCGTCGACCAATTGTCACAGAAATATCCTGTATACCAGTGATGAAATTACATACTAATGGTGGTAACTAGTCATAGCAGAAAGAGTGTAGGTATAATTATAAGTTACGTAAAGGAGAAAGAAAAGTATTACTCATTGCAATACAACATTCATACCAATTATACTGAATATAATGAATGGCAATTACCAGATGAAGTAAATATACTCATTGTACCGAATGGTTATACAGAAAATAAGAGAATTTTTCATTGAAGTGAATGGTAAATACAGGAGGAAAGGTCTAAACAAATGTGCTGGATTTTATGAAAACAAAGAGAAGGTGGTGGTGGTGGTGGTGGTGGTGGTGGTGATGGAGGTAGAGGTGATATGGGTAAGGGATAAATAGCATAATATACTTGCAGTTTGTGGTAGCTAGAGGAAAAGTGAGTGTTTCCGCATTGTGAATGGTATAGAACAGTGCAATGCTACATTTACTACCACAAAGAAAAGGAAAAAAACATAATGTGCGCGCTACGGAATCAGATCTACACAAACAGGCAATCTACCCGGAAGATTATTTTTCCTGGGGAAACAAGGCGCACATGTGCTGGTACTTTTCGTTTCACTGATGCAAGGTGTTTGCATCTGGTTGCATGCAAAATCTACCATATAGATAAGGTAGAACAATATGGCAAATATGTATATGCGTGTTGAGGCAGTAGTAAATTATACACAAATAGTTCAACTACCCGATAGTTTGATTTGTCCAAAGCCACGTTTCTGGAAATACGAGGCGCACACGTGCTGGTTCTTTAAGATCCTGCGATGCATGGTTATCTACATGTGGCGGTTGTGGTTGAGGATTCGATGGAATAGCCACACTTCCAGCCCCCGGCACCATACCAATACTGCTAACCGCGGACGAGACACCAGCTAAGGCGTGGATGCTCTCCAATCCTCCAAATCCACCGAGAAATCCATGATGTTGGTGGAACGATGGCACTTTGGCACAAAACAATGCCAGTTTTGGTTCTCTTGTTAATTGTATGATGTTTTTTAATATATGCATAATGAGTAGTATATATTTGTGATATTTTTCTACAAGTATGCAGTTTGACTGAAATTTATGTCATTGTTTTTATCATTATTGATAAAATAATCCTTATCCGTTATGCTTTCATGCAACATGTACTGTAATCATTATAATGACTGTGCATTATACAGGAATCACTTGTGCACAAGAACGATAATTCGCGTTTCAGTCAACGTATATATCTATGTTATGTATGAATAATTGTTTGCGGAAGGAACGAGTTCGCGATGGACGGTAAACGCGAATTAACGCGACACTTATTATGTTGTCAGGATTTGGTAAGAAGATCTTTTGTTAGTTAGATCATGTTAACAAGTGGAAATTATTGGTAAAATCATAATTGATACTTGTCAGATGAAATATCTTAATCTTCTCTTAATTTGACGAAAAGTAAATTAACTCCCTTTGAATGTACATTTTTTATGTACATTTTATATATCAAAAAAAGATAAATAATATTAATTATATACTGAACAAAAAAAGAAACGCACAATTAAATTATGCAATCAATAGCCTATGATATTTTGGGAAATTTGTACAAAATTTTATATCAATATGAAGGGATAAGTCTACTCTTTACAATACTGTAGAAGAAAAGTCTGTGTGACGGCACTCGTGTCATCAGTAGTTACTCAAAGTTGGATACCCGCGAAAAACAAAATGACACTTCAGTACCTAATGTCGGCACCTTTTGCACGAATCCCTGCACGGATTCTCCTATGCATTGAGTTCGTGAGAATATTTATTCGCCTTAAAGAAATGTTGTTCCATTCTTGTGTTAATGCTGCGATCAACTGGGCGCGGTTAGTTGGGTTTTTTTTGACGTTTCCTAATACGCCTGTCCAGCTCATCCCACAGATACTCAATGGGAGACATGTCGGGGCTATATGGGGGCCATTCCAGAGGCTGATCGTTGTTTGCCGAGAGAAAATCACGACAGACTCTTGCAACATGCGGTCGAGCATTGTCTTTCTGGAAAATTAGGTTATGACGTCTGAGAAGTGGAAAGACATGTGGTTGGAGGATCTGGTCTCTGTATCGAACGGCATTGAGGTTTTGATCCAGGACCACTAAGGGGGATTTTACTCCATGGGAGATGCCTCCCCAAACCATTACAGAAGCCCCACCGAATATATCACGTTCAACCACGCATGCGTCGTCGAAACGCTCACCGCGTCTGCGATATACCCTTTTTCTTCCGTCTGAGCGATACAGACAGAATCTAGACTCGTCGGTGAACATCACACGCCTCCATCGACGCATCCCAACCCTATTCGGGCCATGTCTGGGCATCCAGTCAAGACGCACTTGCGCCTCCGTGGTTTCAGAGGTGGCCCGACATAAGGTCGGCGCGCAATGATTCTCTCGGCACGCAAGCGGTTCCTGGCAGTTTGAGGACTAATGGGTATGCCATGAGTACCTAAGGTATGCGACGCAGTCTCTATAGCAGTCTTGAATCTGTTGCGCAAGTGCGACAATCGAATCGCCGTGTCTTGTCGTTCGGTCGTAACACGCGGGCGACCGCTCCTGGGACGATCGAAAACTAACCCAGTAGCACGGAAACGTGTACAGAGACGGTTAATTGTACACGGGCCAACACCAAACTGCCGTGCGACAGCAGTTTTGCTATGACCATCCATCAACATCGTAATTGCTCTACCCCTCTGAATTTGCGTTAAGCGTGGCATCTTAGTCAATGGCGAAATCAAAATGCCAACGTGGAAAATTAATGTGGCTGAACTTAGAGTATCCGTTGAGCTTATTTGTTTGAAAACTCCGGCTTGGCTTGATCACGCCGCGTGATTTGGACTATAGAAGCTCACAAAGTCACACAATGACATCGTCACGCTTGGCTGGTTTTAGGGTAGATTGTTGAGAAGGGAGATCGTTCTTGATGTAATACCTGACCAAATATTCCATTATTTCCTGACAGCTAAGGTGTACTGCAGGGTGGGGGGAACTTTGTGCGTTTCTTTTTTTTTTGTTCAGTATACATTTAAAAATTACAAAATAGTTATTTGCAGTATTGTTTTTCATCAATGTTGATAGTATGATGTATTTACTCACAGTATATATGCGGCTCCACATGGTGATATACTAGCGCATCAGTCATAACATTTACTCCGGCGTTCTACAATCCAAATTGTATATGCAGAAATTATTAAAAAGTGTCATATGGGTACTTAGAATTTATTACGGAATTTATACATATCCTTCACATAAATTCATAATGTGTACAAAGAGTCTCTCATGGGTTTTTTTGTGGTTTGATTTTGTTGTATTTCTGAGCACACTCTGTGAAATGTTATGTCATTTATGCTAGATTTCATCTAATCTGATTATTTTGAGGTGCTATGTTTAACAAGAATATTTGCATCTGATAAATGAATATAACGATGTTATTACAGAACCGCTATTGCAGTATTTCTTGTCAAAAACTATTCAATTATATAGCAAAAATATTGAACGGAATGTCAGTGAATCGGTCAGCTTTTCTAAAATATACATAAGAACACAGAATAATAAAAAATGAATATATAGATAATTAACGTGAGTTTCTCTTGTATTGTATTGTATTGTATTTATAAACACGTGTATAGTAAATTGTTGGTTTAAGAGCAACAGGTTTTCATCCTAGTGGTGAATAAGCCAATGTATGAGGTGGGAGCTCAGTATTTGTACGTACCTGGAAAATTTGTTCGGCGTCCGATCCTCCATAATAAGTTGTGAAAGGCCACCATATCATACGCTTCTTCCTTCCCACAGGCATAGGCTCAGGCATGATTCCGCCCCCTCCAAATCCCCCCCCTCCGAGGAATATGGGGCCGCCATTGTTGGAATGTACAATGGTGTCATACGACTTCAGTTCATCAACGACCTATAAATATTTATGTACTTTTTGAAAAAACAACCATAATAAAAATAAGCAAAGAAGTGGACGGGTGGACGGACAGAGAGACGGAGGACATCCAACACACGATCTATATACAAATACACATGCATTAAGCCGGAAACATTGTGATGCACAAAACAAACTGTTTACAAACAAATATTGCATCTACATCAGCGTAAATACAATGCTAATTCTGATGAGGGGTGGTGAGTGTATGGGTGTGTGTGTGTGGGGGGGGGGGGGGGGGGGCNTATATGAACAAGTAAACTTAAACTAGAATCTTATGAAGATACTGTATAAACAATGAAGCTTCATCTTTAATATTATGAAAAATCTGTGCAAAAATACTAGCATAGTTGCTCTTCTATTCGACTAGGTCCAAATTTATGCATATGTCTGATGTCATTTAAACATGTGTAATATTTATACCTGTCTACTTCTAAAGTGGTCCCTATAGGGCCAGGTGTATATAGGTATCTAAGTATCTTATACTCTATCAGTAGTACCTTACTACGCAATAGCTCAATGATATTGGAACTTTTTCAACATTTATAAAAATATTCATGCATAATATGTTTCACAAACTTTAATACAAACAAGCAATGTATTCACACATGAAAAGAAAACTCGTATACAGTAGTTAACCGCAAATGTTACCTCTGCAGGCGTGATGTCATTTCCGCTCTTAAGGAGAAGCACACTCTGATCTACGGCTAAAAGGTTGACGATGGAGTTAGGATCAGCTGTAACGTCAACATTGATTCCTTCACCAGGCTGGGCTTTCGTTTTGTCGAACCGAATGGATACCTACAACCGTCATTGGTTTTTTAATTTTATTCTCACCATGGCAAACTTTGCAAACTAATGCATTTGATGTCTTTAACATGTTAAACTACATTTTACTTACCTTTTGAATTTGATGCACAGTTTTAACCCAGTATCTTAAACATGTAATAACGCTTCAATAGTTTTGCATTAATGAAATATTGCCAAAAACAGACGGGAACCAAGTAATGTACCACGTATTTAAGCTTGTATTAGACCCTCTAGGTTTTACTAATGTTTGAACTAAACTAAATACCTAATAGCAGAAAAATAGGAAACGCATATAGGCCTACGTTTTGGTCTTTATCTTAATTTTTCGTTAACCGAATCTTGTGCCTTTTCCACAAAATTATAAAAATCCAAGCAACACTGACACAACAATCTTCAGGACCAGACCAAAACGAACGTCTAATTAGTAAACCTATTGCATAATGTTTCAGTAAAAATGACAAAAAACAAGTATCGCACACGGCGGACACACGCGGTGTTGAACTGCCATGAGGACTTAGAAAGGGTCATACTATTGCAAGGAGGTTATCGCAAAGCCGCTTGTGTTACCGCAACAAACAAATTTAGGTATTAAGCTTAAAGGGTAGAATTAGCTTTTAAATCTAGTTGTATTGACACTTCTGCTTCAACATTTAAAACAAAATATGCTGTAATAAAAATGCGTTTCTTTTTCTGCTAGTATATGATTAAATTTACCTCGTTTTCAAAAGTTCCAGAAACGTCAAAGCTTATGCTGTCTGTGACGATTTCTCCATCAGCTCTGACGTAGTACGCAACGATTCTCGCATTTGGTGCCATCTTAGCATTCAGTGGGACGTGGAATTGGAATGCTTTTGCGTTGTTGCCATTTATAGATCCTGACACTGCGATACTGCCTCGGCCAAGCACCTGGTTATATACGTCACATTGTCAGCACACAAGGACAACATTTAAACTCAAAGTTTATAAATAATAGACAACAATAGGAAACAGGTAGAACGAAAAAAAAGGAAGGCCAAAATTGACCCCAATTAACAAACCAAGGAGATACAGGGTGATACGAAACGGTAGGTAGTTTCTGCACCATTTATGCACCCGCCATGATGTCTTCATCCAAATAATGCCTATACAAGACAGAGCAGATCTATTTAACCTTTATGAATCTTTCAAAAAAGGATCTGCAATGTTATACCTCGATCCTTAGTAGCAATTTTAACCTTAGGCCTCACCTGATAAATTAACTTGTCGATTGGTGAGGTGGACACTACTCGGAAATCCACTACTTTGTCATGGCCAGCCTTCCAAAGACAAAAAAATACAAGACGTCAGTTTCTTTTTATTTTCTTCAACACAAAATATGAGCATCACAGTCTTCTGTATACCGGGGAATTCCCGCTGCAGTATAATTTCCGCCTTTTTTGTCCTTGCAATGAGGGCGAAATAATCATCACAGCGATAAGCAATAAACAACATGATATACCTAGTAATTAAACGTGCATGGCGAAATTTAAACTGGGCTAATATAGATTTTACCGGTGAAGGGCGAAGATTTCCCTGTATACAGTATGTGAACGTTGAAATCAATATTTTGTTAAGACAAACAATGTGATTGACATGGAATCAAGAATAACTCTAGCTGCGGGTATGTGTTTTGTTTGATATGGAGAAAAATAAAAGACTCAAACGTATATTTATTTTGGAATTATTTTGCAGAATAAATTTGCTAAAATTGTTCTGAATGACCAAGGACCAATGATATAGCTTGATTTCTAGTGGTAAATTATACTACGCAACAGTGAAGATACATATCAAGTAAATACTTTGTCGATTGTTTGTCTTAATTCATTATTTTAAAAAAAAGTTTTGATCAAATTGTTATCATTTTTTCATTGTTAAGATTTATAGAAACTTAGTAGACTAATTAACCTAAATAGGACGTATTAAACAATATTTCACATCTTAAAATGTCCTTTGTCATAATATATCAAAATGCGAAAGACAAACCCTTATATCGCATGGAAGGTAGAAATTTAACTCACCTGTAAGTTATTTGACTCCAGGAATATCTGCATGAAGCTGTCCGAAGGAGAATAGCTCCTTTGCACGGATTTATATTGAGTAATTTGGCCATACTTAAACTGAAAAGAATATATAACAGATTTTTACAACACAATTAAAAATTGACCCGAAAGTACAATGTAATTAGAAAACATTTTTGTCTTCAGAATGTAAAAGGAATATCATATATCACATATTCATTTAAGATCGAATTTAGAATACATTTATGACGTACGAAGTACTTGATAATATGTTAAATTCAAACATTTTTGCAAGACATCCTAGGTGAAATTTCGCAAGTGCCATTTGCAACTGGGATCGGGAATGGTTGATAAGTTGCATTTAATAAATATAGATACGTGATGACTTTAATGACAGAGATGTTTTGCCTTAGAGTGTGAAATGTCATTCCATATGAATTATACTTTATTAAGACTATAAATTTAGGCAGCAATCGTATTGTTTATGACTGACATTGACCAATTGTTGGCATCATCGATATTATGAACTCATTATGAAACATTGGCTACCTCTTTCTCTTCCTGGACAGTGGCTGTTCCATGAATATACATACATATATGTACATTGCATAAGTTATTCATTTGCACTAAAAACTGACTTTTAATCTATTTATTTTCTGTAATAAATTACAAGTAAATGCAAACATTGAATTGATTTCAGTAGGAAATTGCAATTAATATGTGTGTCGGCTTGAAACTTATTAGTGTTATATTATATGTGATATATGATATTAGTTTCCGTTTCATGGTACGTGTCATTTGTTGATAATAAATGTCAATTGAATACATTTTATTTTTTGGAAATATGAAAAGTTCCCAGTTTTATCAGATGTTGAAAGTATCAAGATAGATAAAACTGAATTATATATGACAATTTCCCAAATACTGTAGCAATCAGGTAGCAATAAATTATTGTTCAGATTATCAGTTTAGGAAATATTCGATGATATGATCATAATGTCCCTAAACAAAAGTAGTACTGTAGTGGTTATATACACACAATACATAGATATGAAAGTAATTTGTACGTTTAGAGAAATACTGGTTGCATTGTGTGGAATGTCGATCTTAGCCTGGACAAGTCCTGTATCTGTGAGAGTGAAACTCTGATCAGGCAGTTGATAGTTCATGGTTCGTGGACCATAATAATACATAGGTGTAGTTGTCTCAGGCAGGTTGGCTGTTACGCTCGTATGTACGATCAACGACTTGCTTGAGCCCGCGGCCAATGGCATGTCATCTTGTTGGACCACTTTGGCCTACAAAATAATACACAGGTAAATAGAAGAAAAGAAGAAGAGAAACGAAAATTCACCTAAAAGCAAACCTGCCTCAAGGACCACCTTATTAAAAAAGCACCTATGATAAGCGAGCACTTCATATATTTGCAAAAGGTTGTTTTGGAACACAGGCTTGAGTAATTTTATTTGTGATTAGAAATTTCCCTTTCCCTGTATTTGCCAAAGCCATGTAAATGATACATTACGAGTCCATTCAAATAACATGTGCTCTGTATAATCACTACCATTGATGGTTATCTAAAATGAATTTTATTTTCTAGCAAGGCTACATTCGCGTATACCGGTTGAAACGGTACGTGTGGCGCAGAAATATTCCACGATAGACGAACGCTCTTGGACCGTTCTATAAGCAGAGCGGAAAATGCACAGTTTCGGAAAATAAAAAAACCAATGTATCTAGAATAGTATGCCCTTCTCTCACGCGTCCACTGAATTTCATAATGTATCTTAAAATCTTCATGTGGCTTGACATTGTTTTAGAAAGAAATAACGCAAACTGGCAATAGTCAGCATTTTAGTTTCGACCAGGTGCGGTTGGACCCCTCAATCTACACGTGCCGAATTTTCCTGAGGTCAGCCTCGGTTCAGATCTGTACCTGTCGTTTTCTTTACATGTTCAACCGGTTCAACCGTTTCAACCGGATACGCGAATGTACCCCAAGACTTCATTGAATATTAATTAGTTTCAGACTATCACATATACGATACTTCATCACCTGCCTCGAGAAATTGAAAAGCGCATTCTACGTGTAGTTCACGTACGATAAAATGTGTAAATCCTCGATACAATTGCGTTGTTGGTTTTATCACAATGTATTGACTAGTTCTTCCATTTGTATACGAATTTTAGAGCTAACATGTGCTTATCAAGAACATATGTTATATTATGTATATAACACAAACAACGGAAAAACTATTGTCATCAGAAAAAAGTGATCGTCAATAGAATACTCACGTCAGTTTATCATATCGTGTATAAATGGATACCCGCTCTTAATTGATAACTTATCAGTATTGACGTACTTCCCTCTGTGTTACATTGATAGACCATCTTTAAAGTCCCTTAAGATCTCACTTGAAAACGCACTGAACAAGTAATACGTAATCAAGGGCTGGACTCCGATTAGTGCCACTTAGATAAAGCGGTATATGACCTATTCTGGAATTTGTGTACACAATACAATAATCTATTTAGCTTGATCTCAAATATGTGGTTACACTTTGAAGATGCAAGGACTACGCCGTTCTAGGAGGAAGCATATTGATAAAAGGGTGAATTGTCCATTAGTTAACTTAGCTAGAGGGAGTTTCTACTATAATCTATCAGAACTATACTAGGCTTTAGGACTCCCACAACTAAATCAGCCAATCAGCAAGTGTTTCATACGATTGTAATCTCTATCTAAAATTTGTTCCGGGTTAATACAGTGCCTCTGAGTAATCTAAATAGGTAAATGTTGAAATATTTTACATTGAATGAAAACTACAGATATTGAACTTTAGCAAAAATGTATAGTTTTAGTAGATTTTAAAATGTGATGGCGGATTGATATGGGGTCAAATGTCAGGGGGTGTTCCCGTCCCATTTCACCGGTTTGGCTTGTAAACTTCCGGTTGTCAAAAACTCACCAAAAATGCCTTTTGAATCCTTTGTCATGTATGTATCTGTGAATCTAGACAGTTGTCACTAATATTGAACATCAAATATTAACGTTATTAGCTTAAAAGCCTAGCGATAACATATAGTAAATGATTTAGCTGTGTGAGCCCTTTAAACACCTAGTTTCAGACTAGATTTCTAGCTGACACATTAAAATGATAAACTAGGTTACACTTACATAAGCGATGTACTGAAGACCAGGCTTAAATGTTGTAGGGTTGGACGGAAGAAGTTCTATCTTCTCGGCGTGGGTGTAGAAATGCATCTTACTAGTCCCGTCGAGAGTAATCTGTGTAAGACTCTCTGTAACGTTGGCCTCTACCACGACGTTATGGCCGTTCAGTGAGGTATAGTAGGTGTGACTGGTCAGTCCCGACACAGGCAGTGTAAACTTGGCCTCCCCGTTGATCTAAACACATTATTATATTATTATAATTAAAATTATTTCATAAAACGCTTATTATAGAAAATCATAAAATAGAAAATAATGTCATTAATAGTGAATAAAACTGTATCTTAAACTGACAAACTGGCAAAGCGAATTGGTAAAATGAGCTAAAACACATATTTCCTTCTTCTGTAAAAGTTTACGGAAAAATCTGAATATGTAACCGACTAACGCGTCGCTACACTAAGATAATACTTCTTAAATACCATAATAATTTAACTTTTTAAGTAGATACTAATACGCAAATATCGTTTTATAATTACTGAAATAACGAACGACTTACGTCCATTGTCAGTTCGATGGTTGGGATAGGTTCCGGATGATAGTATTGAGATTGGTAAAAGTCAACGTGGGCTCGGATTTTCACAGTTCCATTCACCGGTTTTCCATAGGTATACCTGTGACAACAGGGAAAAGATTCAATGTATAAGAAAAATATATATTAAGCATCAGGCATTGTTAAGTGATCCAGGTTAAAAGTTTACTGAAAATCTTGAAATTATAAAAACTATTCAGAATTGCACAAAAGTGACATTTACAAATTGTGACGCATACAATCCCTGTTATCACTGAAAGCTTACATGATTGGGAATGCTGTATCATTTATTATGTAGTATCTGTTTTTAGCATATCTAGAAGACAGTGTAACGTTACTCAAAACGCCACAACAGTTATATGTTACATCAAGATAGGTATTTTTATCCCTTTTACTTATTACGGAGTGAAATATCATACCATGTGTTTGGAAAGTGAAACATGTCATATTCAATTATGAAAAGTTCTTTTTACACAATCAAAAGGAGTTTCTATGTGACGTGTTACAAAAATAGCGTCAAAGTAAGGGGAAGAACAAGAAAGGCCAATCTTTTCATAATCCATACTTACAAACATGCAGCAAATGTTAAGAAATATCATACTCAAAGAAAATAATACTGACAATAATGTAAAAGAGTTGGCTAATCTATTGAGTATCTAATTGACATGTGTTAAAATTACCATTTTTGTTGTTAAAATATGCACAATTTACGTCAAGATTCGAATGACCATTTGAAAGTTATACTTTGAGAAAACAAATCAATTATTTCTATAAAATATTGATGTATTATAAAATATGATGAAAAAGGTTTTTTTCCTCCTGTACGTTGATCTACGTACAGCAAAATCTTCATTGTAACACATATTACGGTTGTAGTAATTTATAACTTGATATTATCTTCAGGTAGCATGTATCCTTTATTTTATTTCGTATCCATATCTTGAAATTTGATATTTAGATAAGGTGTGACAGATTGGATACATCTGTATGACTCAAAAGCATCACACTTACTTTGCCTTCACAGTTCCTTTAATGTCTGTTGCTGACGTCAAATCGTACGACGGCAAGTCAACGGTCACTTCGAATTTCGGTAAGACTAGAATCAGAATAAGGTTTACAACATATAAACGTCTTTTTGTCAGGCCACGCCAATTTCTATCGGAGTACTTTCACTTCTACAAAGTTTAATGATTTGCCATTCTTCCACAATCGTTCCTGTATATTAAATTATACAAATCATCCATTTAAGGGAAGTAGTGTTTGTCAAACACACGTGCTAATTAAAAAATTGAATTACACCTTCATTCGTGTGTTTTGTTTAAAGGCAGAACTATGAAATGTAGCGGTTCTACAACCTCCCTTCAAATTCATCATACAAATTTAGGTTTTGTGTTTTCCTTAGTTGTTTTTTACCTTGATCTTAGACACGTTTTGTAACTCCTGCTTATGTCACTCTCATATTAGAGACTTAGTTTTACGTTTCAAAACCACTGACAAAATAACTTTTTAAAGTGACATTTGACTTTTCCCGTATGTATCTTTCATATGTCTTCTTCACATCGTAATTACAATTATAGCTGGAGTAGTGAATAACTTTGACTTTTAACCATTAACCGTATGTCTTGGTGATTATCCATCCATATGTTTTAATGTATATGTTTAATGAGAGTGTATGTCAGTTTCCCAGTGGTTTTTAATAGCCACAATACTATGAAGTTTCGGGTTAAAATAGTTCAAGTCTAAGGGGGTCATCGTTTACAAATCAAGTAACAATAGCAAGTACCACTTAACTATATCAATTAAATAAAGACAATTCTTCATTTGCTCTTTCTAACCTGTTCCGATTTAATTATTTGAAACAAGTAGATGTGAGCACATGATACTTACCATAGTGAGCAACTGTAAACATCTTGTCTTTGGTCAAACCCTAAACAGATGTCGTCAAATATATCTAAGTATGAAATAACTACTAATGATCTATGGAATGTTCTATATCACAAAATAAGAAAATAAATACATTATAATTTTGCATAATATTTTCAGAATAAAAGTCTTTATATAGAGCTAAAATGTATCAATATCAAACGTGTTATTCAAGCGATTCTTAACTCCATAAAAAAAACTAATGTTCATTCTAAATTTGCGAACATATAGAACAGCGACAAAGTAATATTTCTAATATATAGTATGTTAATATTTTCTCGAGTTTATAATGTATGAGATAATCTTGACATGTACCGTAAGGATTACCACATTATCACATCAGTACGTATGTCCTATAAAAATTACCTTTCTGGTGTCATATTAAGACCCTACGCGGAACAAAAACAACATTATACAATATTTATAACATGTTTTGCCTGCTTACGTGTGTCTTGACACGGATTTTCCAGTCTCCCAGTACCGGTTTCGTGTCCATTGCCATAAAATTAGTAAGTACCCCGCTGGCGTCTTTCAGTCCAAACCATTGCTTAATTTTATTGCTGTTGGGATCCTGCGTAAATAAGCATATAAAAAAAAATTATAACGATATATGAACACTCGGTTGATCAACATGTCACGTATAGTATGCACAAAGCACCAAATTCTATATTCCTAAAGATTGTTTTATGTCACCTGACAAGTATGCTTTACTCATAAGGTTATTGGAAGATAAACCTTTATGTTTCTGTTACTTTAACAATGAACATGTTCATGGGTCAATGTAGTAAAATATAAGTTAATAGAAATACTTCAATTTAGTAATGTATTAATAATCGAACATAGTTACAGCATCAAGAGTATGATCTATATGAATTGTTACTAAGTTTTCAACTAAATCATGCCATTTGCATTCTGTTCACATTGGCCTTAAAACCATTAAGTAATTCAATTAAATAATTACAAGTTACTTTATATTTATATATATTTTTATATCATAGAGATTATTTTATGCTATTTACGCGGTACGCAGAATATACTATTACATATATATCAATAACGAAGTCGCTTATCGTCGATGTGCAATAACAACGCCATACACAGCGTTTACAGCATATTACGTATAAACGTGTTGCGAAACATACCTAATGCAGATAGTTATTTATAATTTACATGAACGAAATGGCTATTGAACATTTCATACATTAGTACCTGAAATTTTAAAATATACACATAAAAAACCCACAAGACGGAATTTTGAGATTGCAACTCACGTAAATCTCAATGTCCATGGGCCCACTGTAAACTGTCAAATTGGGATAAATGGCGAATGTTCGGAAATTGACTGAAATGACAGATGTTATGAAATGAATAATTTCTGAAACAAATACCAGCAAAGGCATTATGTTAAACAGAGTACACCAGTGTCAATATATGTTTCAAACCTAAGACATGAAGCAATATATCTATTGCTAGAAGATACTTAAAATGTGTGGCTCATGTGTATGTGGTGAATAGTCTTTTTTAAGTGTGGTTCTCAGTATAATGTGTTTCTTTTTGTCTTTCCTAAGTGTGGTTCTCAGTATAAAGCGTTTCTTTTTGTCAAAGAAACATTTCGTATG